CATGTGACAAAAAAACAAAAAACAAACAGTTAGGGATTTTAGATACATTAGTTTTATACGATTTGGACCTTTATTTGAAATGAATATTGAGTTTAGCCAAGAAAAGTAAGGATTCTCCATGGAACAGGAAACAACTGTGCACCACATTTTTTGTTTAAGGATCAGCCATTTAGTAAAGAGACAGTTTCATGGATTACCTGCCAAAATCTTGCATTCATTGATACTCACGTACAGTAGCTTACCTGCCAACAACAAACAAATATTAGCAATAATAGATTGACAACACGATTCATTTGGATTACTAATTATCGCTCATAAAACTTAAACATAATACAAATTTAATGGGAAAAACATGCTCAAAAATTAAACAAATGAGAATTAAATTACTACATGGATTTTAAGTGATTTGGGATCAAATATAACACAAATGTACGTGGAATATAGGCATGCACTTACGGATCTGGATATTTCAAGCGAAACCTTACATTCATTGCTCTTCCAGTTTGAGCGGTTTTCCACTTCGAGGCTCACGATAAAGGAAAAGTTGCGGTTGGTGCTTTCGGGTATCGAATACGATTCCGTTGGTGGATTACACGACGGTGGAGACGGCATAGCAGCAACCAGAGCCTATCATCTAGGATTGGGCAGGTTAGGATATGAGAGCTCATTCGAGAGTGGTGTTCAAGGACAAAAGAGAGATTGGCGTGCGTACGATAGAACACATCAGCGTGTGGTAGTGGTCGCCGCTTTACTGTTGTGTTGAAGGTGAAGGGTTTTACTAAACTTACCCTATTTTGATGAACATATATGCGGAGTATAACCTTTGGTCAAATAGGTTGGGCTGGGTTTAAATGGAAGATTTTCAAACAGGATGATCCAAAGGCTGTAAATAATGAAGAAATAAATTTGAGTTTTTTACTAAGAAAAACTTTAAATAAATTAATGAAGTTCAAAAAATATGGAAAATTATTTATTTTTAAAAAAACTAAAGTCACTTTTATGTAAAAATTCAGTAGTACATTTCACATAATCTCATTATTGGCTGGGTTTCGGGATGATGACGTTAAGGGTGGAATCTGTCCGGTCTCTGTTGGTTTTTCGATGATATAAAAAATTATTTATAAGATATCAGTTATGAAAATTAGAGATCGAAAAAAAATCCTTTACATTTAGTTCGAGTCAGCTTTCATTAGCTTGGGTTCGGTCTAGGATTGAATAGAGCCGGTTAAGGCCCGATTGAAGAATTATCATATTTGAGTATTATTTAATAATGCCATAACACACTTTCACATATTTGCACCCCCCCTGATTTGCCAATTTACCATGGTAATTCGTATAAAAAATGCAATTCGTATAAATGCATAGTCACCATATTACTTGATATGTTTATACTTAGACTTATTTCAGTCTCAAACCAAACCAAACTTAACAAACCAGACCAGACCATACTTGGATATTAGAAATAGTAGAAGCACCTGTTTGAAATTTTGCCACAAATTTAGATTCAAGTATAATTCAAGAATGACATAACACACTTTCACATATTTTACTCCTTTATTTTACCTATTTAGAAAGACAATTCGTCTAAAAAATGCAATTCGTGTAAATTTATAATCATGTTATTACTTAGTCATTATAAATAATTTACCTTAATTGATTTATATAAACCTTTGATTTTCAGCAGGTGTTGCCGGTGATACCTCTTGGGAGTAAACAAGATGTAGTCAATGCGACGATTATCCATCATATATGTGGTCAGAATTCCAGTTTTTCGTTTGACAAAAAATATGCGCCTGCTAAACACGACTAATCCATCATATTCTTATGATTTGAAAGTCTTTTCAGATTGGATTGCCATCATCTTATTAAGAACATGATGGTCATGTTCGTATTACTATTCCTGATGAACTATTGATACGTACATATGGTGATCCTATAGCTGCAAATATTGAAAGCATATTTCCGGAATATGTTGAATTTGCATGTGATATGAGTTATTTGCGCGACCTGCAATTTTGGCACCGACACTGACTGTGGTTGAAGCTATTAACGACTCTTAATAGTTTGTGAAGTTTCAAGAACATATCTTAGTTATGACAGTGCTTCTAAGATAGATTATACGACCAATCGAATGGTGGAACTGCACACACCCGAGTTCTTGAATAGTATTCAAAAGTGTTCAACAATGTTATGGTTTCAACGTATTAGTTGGATGTTTTTGATCTTTTTAAGTAATGTTTAATACTCTCATTTTGACCATAATATTATAAGTGTGTTTCGTTTAATGCTTTGATGTATATCATTATTACATGAAGATAGATGCTGACATACTGTCATCGATTGATAGTGTGATTTGAATCACTAAGCACACATAAATTTGAAAGAAAAATTTTCAAACCGTGCATCGCACGGGTGAATTTACTAGTTGTAACTACAAGCAAATTAAATCTTCATAAACTAACCCCAAATCAAGTACATAAACTAGAAGTATATGTCACACATATGTAGTTGTGGATGATGTTACTTGGATTGAAATTTATTGGCCTGGTTTGGTCTGAACTCGTCTGGTCTAGTCTGGTAAACATCTAGTCTCTGTGACGGTTTGGTCTAATCTGTTCTGGTCTATTTAAGTTTGGTCTGATTTGATTTGCTCTGGGATTGAAAACAGTCCAAGTAAAAACATTCTAAATCCATAAGATATACGGAGTATATAATAATTGTGTAAACACCCATTACAAGAAATATTGGGGTTGATTAATAATTAGTACTCCGTAGTGATTAAGCTTCTCCAACTAGATTGAGTGTGTGTTTGGCACAACTAGTCCAAAAATACTTCTATAGAATTTTTAATAACTGTTAGATTTTAGTGACTGAAAAGGTCTTAAAATGAAAAAGTGGTAGTTGTTTGGTAAAAAGTTGACCCTTTGATTTAGTTCTGTTTGGTATACAAGTTGTTAGGACTAATTAATGCTAAAAGTCATAAGACTTTTCTCAGACGCTACTCCCTATAACATCTAAAAAAATATCTTTTATTTTTTGAAAAGCTCTTAAAAATTTTCATACCAAACATACAACTAGAAACTTTTAGAGACTTTTTAAATAGTACTAAAGCTAGAAGTCACAAAATTATGCCTCCCAAACATAGCCTGAATAGCCTACGGAGATTTAGTGCTGGTTTAATTGGTGATACCTAATCGGCTGAATGAGCTGATTCTGCTGAAATTTATGAAATTGTGATCGATGTGGCTAAATTGGCTGATTTATAAAAGAAAATTGATTCTGCTGATTTATAAAAGAAATATATAAATATGTTTTATTAATAAAATAAAAAAATTACATGTAAAAATAGCTAAAATGTTCCTATACAGTAACTTCAGCCAATACAGTCAGACTCTGTTCTAAAAATCGTTCTAGGCGCCCGATTAGTCCACGCCTAGAATGAAGCTGCTATTAAAAAAATGAAGCTGCATATCATATCACTTTTTTAATCAAATAATTTTTTTAAATGAACATGTACTACGGGGTAGTATGGAGGAGCAAGACTTTGCTAATTGCTACTAACTACTTACCATGAAAAGAATTAGAGGTAAATAAGGAAACGATCACACGGTTATCCCAATTTTCCATATATGTTGGAGAAATCATTTAAAATAATCTGGTTTCAAAACTTGATGCTAGATTTTTTTTACAAATAATCTTTGCAAATAATTTCTTTATCTCAGTCATAATCTCAAAAAAATCAGCCACCTCATCAAATTAATCTCTAAATAATCTAAATTGCTCTAATGGCCGCCGCTTAATAGGAATATGGGATGTAATTAATGAAGCTTTAGCTTTATTTCAGGTCGCGGTAGTTTCCACTTTCCAGTTCTGTTGGTTGGCAATTATAAATGGAAAATGTTTTAGGTTTAATCTCATTAATCTTCTGACTTACGTTTTAATCTTATATACACTACTCATTAGTCAAAAGTCATTAGCCCCGGCCACGGTTATAGTTTTTTGGTAATAAAAACAAATGAAGAGAATAATGAGGATTTCTCTTTACTATTAACATTATCGCTATTATTATAGTATCATGATCACTTTATAAATATTGAATATAAGTTGGTATTACTAAAGTTACTATCACAATATATAATACAATCACAATACTTAAGATATACTATCGTATATCACATTTTGGTAAACAATCTTATTTTATTCGCGTATTCATTCTAGTTTAATTAAGGAAAAATGGAAATTAATAATCCAACATTTTAGCGGTCTTCTCACAATAATCCAATCTTTTGGTTATTCATGAATAATCCAACCTTTGCACCTCATCTTCATTCACTGGTCCCTGACCGATTGATGACTTGCTATTCCAAGCTATTTTCTTATCTTTGCAAATCATTATACCATAAATCTCATCTTTCACAAAGATATTATTTTACAAAGATAAGAAAATAACTTGGAATAGTAGATCATTAACCGACCAGGGACCAATGAATCAAGATGAGGTGCAAAGGTTGGATTATTCATGAATAATCAAAAGGTGAGATTATTGAAAGAAGACCGCTAAAAGGTTGGATTATTAGTTTCTATTTCTTCAAAAGTACTAGTAAGTGAATTGGTTTCACTTCTAGGAGTTCTAGAGTATACCAAATCAAATCAGATTAAACAGACTATATTAGATCACACCACATATTCTGATCAAACTAGACTAGACTTTGACAGTTGTGATGGATACATATCTACCAGACCAGATTTAAAGAAAATTGAAAAACATCAAACCTGCCTAGATGAGATTGATTAGTACAACTAGACCAAAAAAATTCAATACAGCTAAAAACATTCTAACACGGTTGTTATAAGAATTTTATTTGGCTACAATTGAAAACGTCAATTTAACATTCTAACACGGTTGTTATAAGAATTTTATTTGGCTACAATTGAAAACGTCAATTTCAATAACTAATCTCGAATTGCCAAATTAGGCAATAATTTTAATTTAATCATAGCCCACAGATAAAACATTTATCATCGAAACTGAGGTATCAATTAGTTAGCATTGAATTCATACAAGAAGAATCGTTATGGTACAAGAAAAATTGGTTCGAACGAAATTATTACAAACAATAAGTAATGTAATATGGGATGGCATTAATGATTAACCAGTAGGCATCTGGAAGCGGCAAAGTGGACAATAATGGCTTTTGCGCAGCCATTGGCGGATGCATTTGGCGTGAAACCGATGCGAACAAGGCATCCTCACAGCTTCCTCTTCCTCCCTTTTCAGACAATCCAAACACACCGCACAAGTCTCCTCTCCGCCGCCGCCGCCCTCAGCTACTTCCCCCAGATTCAACTTCTCCAACATCTCCTCCATTGACCACCGGCTGGCCGGTTTCATTCCGTTTCCTCCGACCTCCATCAACTGCGGCGCCGCGTCCCGGATCATGGCTCTCTCTGATGACACGTGGTAGAACGTGAGGTTGACAGTCACGCGCGCCGCTTCGCACGCGCCTAGATCGCCCACTTCCCTTGCTATTCCGGAAACCATGGGTTCGAATCCTCCCCACAGCCGCAGCCTGCCGCCGCTGCACTTGAGCAGCTCATTTCGAATGACGGCGCGGAGTTCGTCGGCCGTGCGGGCGGCGATGTCAACGTCGACGGAGGAAGTGGCGACCTCGGAATCCTCAAGAAGTACGTCGATGGGCCGTAGTCGTGAACTTTCGTCGCCTTCCGTGAAAGCCACGTAATGATGTTCCGTGTGGCAGAGGATATCAAGTTTAGTGACGGCTGCGGCGGATAAGGGAGGAAGCCGGCGGCAGGGACCATCAAAGTAGTCGGCCGCGGCGGCGGCAGGATCCCAGATCTCGTAGGTTGCGCCTGGGATGGTATGGTCATGGCATTGAAACCTCTCGGAGGCGTGACAATAGCTCTCCATTTCTATCGCCTACGTTGTAAGAAACGAAACCTGATCGAGTAAAAATGATTAAATGAATGAGACTATGGAGACTTGGAGAGTATATATAATTTGCGTTTAGGTTTGAAATTATAACTGAATAAGTTACAAGCTAGGGTTCTAATTTTTAAACCATTTCGATCTTTTGCTTCGAAGTTCGAAATAGGAAACCATATTGATATAATGATATGGGAAAGAAAGAATTTCCCAAATGAGACTAAAACTTGGTTAATTCCAAACAAGGACATTAAATTTATTATTCCCTAAATAGGACTCTTAATTACGGATCAGACAATATTGTCCTTATTGAAAAAAAATTAAAAGTTCGTAGGGCAGGGGTCTGTGCGATTCCCCTGTCCGCAGGTTTTGCGTTGATTCCAGGTCTCTACACTTCAAGTCGACACCTCCACCAATGGCGCCTCCGCCATCTTCCATCAAGTCTGCCGCCGCCACGCTACCCCTCAGCAAATACGCTGCCATCATTCTCCAACAAGGATCTGCCCTCCAGTGACTTTGTGCAGACCTCCAGGAGGAATGCCACTTGAATGCGAGAATGCCACTTAATATGGATAATGACACAATAACGATAATTTTGTATAGAAACGTGACATTCTCAACATGACATTTCCAAAGGGTCTACCCTCCAGTGACATAAAAGTGATAAAGGGTCTACCCTCCAGTGACTCTGTGCAAACCTCCAAGAGGAATGTCACTTGATATGCGAGAATGTCACTTAATATGCTTAATGACACAACAATGACAATTAAATATACAAACATGACATTCTCAATATGGCATTTCCAAATATTGTAATGACATAAAAGTGACATTTTGTAAAAATACACAATAATTATGACATTCTCTTATTCAAAAAGTAACATTTTCTGGAATCATTAGCCAGGGCATTTTTAGATTCAAAGTAATCAAAATTGATAACAAGAAATTCAAGTTCAAGTATACCTTCATTTGAAAACTTTCAAAAATCAAAACTTTATTAAAAATCTGATTGACAAAAATTTTTAAAAAAAAGCATAGAATTAGGAGGAGGGGGGAGGAGGAGGAAGAGGAGGATGAGGAGGAGGAGGAGGAGGAGGAAGAAGAAGAAGAAGAAGAAGAAGAAGAGAGTACCTACCTGATTGCCGATGAGTGCAGGGCTACGATAGACGGTGACTGCGGTGCGAGGCCACAATCGATGGCGGAGCTACAGTCATGGGAGGAAGGATCGCAACGTGCTTTGAAGAAATTGTCGATGAATTGCAGAAGGTAGAAGGTAGAGAAGTGAGTTTAATTAAATGAGGGGTAAAAGTGTAATCTTTAGTCCTATTTAGGGAATAATAAACTTGTAGTACTATTTTGAAATTTAGGGTATGTTTTTGTCCCATTTAGGGATGTAATTATGGGAAATTCTATGGTGCCTTTATAAATTCACAAGGTACCGGTACCTAAGTTTTTAAACCAATGAGACTATGGTAACCTGCCATCTCACCATCATCGCCATATTAGTATATCGATATTGACGTGCACTTTGTCGTGAGTGCACTCAAAATAAATTCAATACTAACACTTATACGTAGTATAGGTGAAGTAGAGTTCGTATCCACAGGGAAAGGAATAATTTATCTTTTTAACGAAAGGAGTAAATAAAGGGGGGTTTTGGGTTGAATGATTTAATTAAATTAAAAACGAAGATGAACGAGTTATATGTGATTTAATTCAAAGATAAAAAGGACTTGGCATTACTACTTTCCACTTGTTGATATATTTTAGTCGATCATTGTTATATCTATAACTTATCCCCTCTCGAATACTCAATCGAGGAGTATATCCAATTCATCGAGGATAGTTATTAACAACGACCGTTCATTAATAACCCTTACTATTAGTCATGTATAGAACACCGCCATATACCGACTTGATAGTAGCATTTAATCTCTTAACTCCTTGATGAAATCAATTGAGATTGATAACCTCAACACAACGGTTTCGGTTTAACCAACAAAATTAATCCCTCTTAAGTTTATTAACCACAACCGTGCATTAATAAACCGAAGTTACTTACTTGTGAAACCATCAACAATTAACCATCGGTTCATTGAATGTTTCTAGTAGTAATTAATGTTGAGATGTTAACTAATTGTCATCTTAGCAACACTCCCCAACATTAACATAGAGATAGATCAAGGGAAGAATTAATATTCAAGGAAGAAGATTAAATATGAATAATCCTACTATAACTAATGTCAAGATGTTATCTAATTGTCATCTTAGTAACACTCCGCAACATTAATATATAGAGGAATAAAATAAATACTACTATAACTAATGTCGAGATGTTAACTAATTGTCATCTTAGCAACACTCCCCAACATTAATATATAGATAGATTAAGAGAATAATTAATATTCAAGGGAAGAAGTTAAGAAAATAACTCACAACTTTAATAATCAACAAGCTTCAAGAGCAACACCAAGAAATGGAAGTTTAGCTCCTCATTTGGAGACTAAACATGCTATAAAAATATAAAAGAAATACTATTCTAAACTAAGCTTAAGAGTATGGAAGAAGGGATGATTAAAAGTGAAGGAAAATGGGGCTATTTATAGGTGTTTTGAAGGTGCTGCACCGGATACCCGGCCGGGTATTTGAGATACCCGACCGGGTATTTGTCAAAATCAAATATTTTGCCCACGATTTTGTGTTTTCTGCACGTCTTTTTGTCCGGGTCACTTCATACCCGACCGGGTAAAGGCTATACCCGACCGGGTAAGTCACCAAATCACATTTCTTGCATGATTTCTTGTTCCCTTGCACTTTCCTTTGATCTTGTAAGATCCCTTCCATGATCCTTTGTTGATTCTTGATTGTTTCTTGCTCAAGATGATTCTAAATTTACTAAATTACAACAAACTAGAAAAATAAAATGATTGCACCTTAAATGTGCAATTACCACAACAACACACCATAAAAAGTAATTAAAAGTAAAAATATAAACACTCAAAAATCAATGCAATCAACTCCCCCACACTTAGTCTTTTACTTGTACTCGAGTAAAATCCATAAAGACATAAAGTTCTTCACCATCCAAAGTGTGTCAACGAGATAAAAAGAAAAACAGAAGTGTTTTCTTTTTCAGTTTAAATTCATCCGCACTATAGAAAGTTATTGCTTCTCCCTCCAGCTGCTTGCTATGGTAAAAATGAACTCCTGCAAAACTAATTTCTTCTCTCATTTCTCTCCTTTTTCCTAGGAGCCTTTTCAGGTTTTCATCCTAGCCTCTCATTTTTTTTACTCACTCTTTTTTTTTTTTTGCTAATGTTGCTTAGGTTGCCCGTTTGGGTTTTCAACCTAACTAGCATTTCTTCTATTTTTTTATTTAATTTTTTTTTGTGAAGAAAATAATGCAAGTTACAAGGTAGAAAAAATAATTGTGTACGAATGAGTGACTCCCCCTCACTTAGCTCGGAGCACTGTCCCTAGTGCTCGTTATCGCCATCACTTTTTTTTGAAGATATAAAGTTGTGGATTGGGAGAGGGGTGGTTGCTTCCAAGAGTTTGTGGATTAGAGGGTATGTGGAGCAAGAGGACAGTGATGAGAACAAGATTATGATTTTTTTTTTTGTGGGGTTTGGTGGAGGATTTGGATAGATTTTGAAGAAAGAGGGATATGGTTAGGAGGTTTGGGGTAATTGAATTGGGTTCGAATTTGGAAAAGACGAATGAGGTGATTTTTTTTAAAAGTGCAAAAATAAAATGCAATAAGTAAATGTACCTTGCATGGGTTGCCTCCCAAGAAGCGTTTTATTTAACGTCGTGGCACGACGCTGTCATTGTGTCCAGTCATTCAAACTTGGATCGTGATAGTTTATCTTCTTCACACTTTCACTCCTAGGACTTCCATAGGAATGCTTAATTTCTTGACTCTTCACTTTGAAAATCTTTCCAGGATCAAATATCCAGATTTTCATTGATTCATGTGGTGGGAGTGAGGGAAAGAAATTATCGTTAAACATGGTTAACGGAAAATGTTTTGATCCCTCAATTTTGCTGAAGATTTCAAAAATGTCATTATCCTTGTCAATTTTATGAGTTTCCCTCAAAGTTTTTAGAATTGTTGGGGGTACCTCAAAGGATGACAAGGATAGATATTTGACCTTGAAACTCGGTTCATCCTCTTCTTTGATTAGCTGGAGCTCCGCGTCTCTTTCTTCTTCTACTTCTTCTGGATTTTGGATCTCCTTTTGCATTTCCTTCTCATTTGTCAATGTGATTGCAAAAGTTTGCTGTTTAGGATCACATTCTATTTGAGAGGGAAGTTTTTCCGAATCCCTTGCTTCAAGCCTACTTACGGCTCCGGCTATTTGAATCATTTGAGTTTCCAAGTTTGAAATGCTAGACTTGGTCTCATTTTGGAATTGCACCATGTTGTTTTGCATGGTGGTCATGTTGGTAGCAATAGCCCGGACCATATCCTCTGTAGACATGTTAGAGTTGGAGAACGGATCATACCTCATGTGAGGTGCATCCCTTTCGTAACCAACATCATCAATTTGTTCAAGGTATTCATATTGGAACTTTGGGCAGAAATCCGTAAAATGCCTGTGAGACATGCAAATGTTGCATGTCTTGGCATCTTGAGCTTCCGAGTTTAAGATAAATCCCTTTATTAGAGAAGTCAAGAAGGAAATTTGACTCTCTAAGGATGATGTGTTGGCATCCATATACTCATAACTCATGTAAGCTCAGAAAATAGAAGAGTAAGATTTTTTTTTTGATTTTTTTTTTTGTTTTTGATTTTTATGAGATAAAATAAAAAGAAAAATAATTGCCTTTCCCCGGCAACGGCGCCAAATTTGACGTGCACTTTGTCGTGAGTGCACTCAAAATAAATTCAATACTAACACTTATACGTAGTATAGGTGAAGTAGAGTTCGTATCCACAGGGAAAGGAATAATTTATCTTTTTAACGAAAGGAGTAAATAAAGGGGGGTTTTGGGTTGAATGATTTAATTAAATTAAAAACGAAGAT